GCGCTGCCACTGGAGAAATCATCCCTGCAGACTCAGTGTGTCGGTGTTTGACTGCTGCTTAACTGAGGATCGTTAAAACAGAAGCATCATAATCATTCAACATTGGGTTCCTCCGCTCCTAATGCCAAACAAGCACACGTCGGCTCGTAGAAGTTTGTTTTAGACATGAATTATTCATGTTGCATGTTAGAACTTGCGTGAGCTCTTCCTTCTAGTTTGGAGAAAACAAAACATTTTATTGCAAAACTTTGCACAGTAAGCTAAACCTGATGCAGGAAAAGGGGATGCGGTAGTTTTGAGTATCAGCAGCAGATGATTCATGAACTGAACTTCGGGAAGTAAAAGATGTCACCACACACAGCATTTAAGCACCAAAGATAAAAGATAAATCATGAGGAATGTCATCTGACCTCAGACCTTAGCCTCAGATGTTCAGCAAGTTCTGACCCAAAACAAAAAGCTCATTTGCGTCTTGGTAAAACCAGGCGGCAGCCTCTGGTTCTGAAGAGTGAAGCCAATGCTGAAGGGTCTTAGAACCTGCATTCCCTCTAGTGTCCACCAGGGGGCGACTCCTCTGGTTGTATAGAAGTCTATGAGAAAATGACTCTACTTCTCTCTTGATTTATTACCTCAGTAAACATTGTAAACATGAGTTTATGGTCTCAATCTCTAGTTTCAAGTCTTCTTCACTACAGCATGATGTTTATTTAGTACATTATGGTCCATTTAGAGTCAAACAGCCCATAAAGCAGGGGATGCTTTAGGGCGGGGCTTCCTGTGATTGACAGGTTGCTACCCTATCCTATTTGGTCGTCCAAGATGGCGATGGCCAAAATGCCAAAACTCAGGACTTCATAACATCAGTCCACAAACCAATGAGTGACATATCGATGACTTCGCCCACTTCTCATACACACTCTATGGGTAAAAAGCCGAGCTGGCAACATGTCTAACAACTCCACCTAATGCCGTGTCTCTGCTTTTAAATGCAGAAAAACACCCCAGCTGCCCGTGAGGGTTTTGTTGTTTACCCCCTTAAGAAACATTAAACATACATGACGCACTATTTGGAATCGATTGTAGAGGCTGCTTTTACATAATCACTCTGGTGTGTGTGTGTGTGTGTGTGTGTGTGTGTGTGTGTGTGTGTGTG